TCAATGTATGTTGGTGCGCTCTGGGGTTGGTCTTTCCCACGCGCTTGGCAAGGCAGACCTCGGGAGACAACTCGCAGGCTCCAGGATTAGTTCAATTGGCTAAATAGCAGCGAGGTGTTAGTCAACATCAATATTGTAAAATCGATATTGCAGCAACAAGTCGTTTATATTGACGGTCTGTAATTCAACTCCTTGGACGAGTTATAGCAATATATTGAACTAATTTGGCTTACGTTCTCTCATTACGGTGATTTAGCGGATTCCGTATGGTTAATATTAGAAGCATGCCAAGTTGGTGTAATGCCATGTTTCCAAAAGTAGCTAATGCGTCCGAATTGGAAGAGCCCAATGCGTTACAAGGAATCAATATATAGCATTGGAATTCTCTCCAATCACATATGTAGTTATAGCGAGAAATGCGACGGTATGGATCCCAGCAAGTATGGAGACATCCTGGCAGTGCCAGCGCGAGCCGAGGGACAGCAGAAGTCGTGAATCCCTGGCCGTCGAAGGCGACAGCGCACGGGGCTGAGGCGCCCGCGCATCTGCCTTTGGGCTTGTCGAGCACCATGGGCGGTCGGACCCTTCGAGGAGATGCAGGACGGACGGGTTGGCAGTTTTCGGGTTCTGGGGGCCTCCCCTGGGGCAGCCTAAAACAGCAGGTTCGATTCGGGATCAAAAGTCGTTCCCCAGGGAGGGGGTCCACGCCTCTGCGGAGCCACGGCGTGGCACGAATCACGACGTCCGATGTCTGGGCTGTCCTCCCCTGCTGCAGCCTCCGATAGCCGGACCAGGGAGGCATTTGAAGTGGTCCTGGGCGCATGATTGGCCTGGCCAGGATGCAGGATCTCCAGAGGCCTCTGGAGGCCACGGGGAGATGCCCGCACGAAAGTCCACGCCGGGCCCCTTGGGGCCTCTGGAGAGAGGGCTCAGGACTTGCGAAAACCTGGATCGGGGTGTGCGCGTACACGGTAGGTTCACGCCATGTCGACGCGGCGGCAGTCCCCAGCGCAGGCGTTCAATGCTGAGCCCGCTAGTGGCTCCGAACCCGCAGACGCCGCACGATCCGCGCCATCGCAAAGCCGCGATCGTTCAAGTCGAAAGCGAAAGATTGCGTAAACATCAGAGTGAGGGGGCCGAACGGTCATCCATTGTCATTGGGTGCGTGATTGAATAAAGAATTTTGTGGTGAGAATTCTCATTGTTGCGTTGTTGTCGTTGTTGTTGTTGTTGTTGTTGTTGTTGTTGTTGTTGTTGTTGAACATTATTAATTCTAAAGAATAATTATTGTTGGGGCCCCTGGTGCACGGCCCCCCTGCGCCGCCTAGGCCGCAGCTACATTTTCATCATTTTCGTGAGGAAGCCTCAGGTAATTCGATGTGATCAAGATCCGGTTGTTTTGTTCCCCCCCGCTTTCCCTTGCAAAAAACACTATAAAATGACATTTCTTGTTCTAATATAATCAAATTTCAAGAATCCCTTGCAAAAAATAAGGTAAAGTGGACATTCGCGCGCGCAAGACGAAATCCTTCCAAAAGCTTAGTGTTCGGAGCGATTTTAACATAAAAACATCAAAAAACCAATGGTTTTTCAACAAAAAAATGTCAAAATCTCATCCCGCGCGCTCTTGCGGATTCGTAGGAAAACCAACACTTTTTAAACATTTCTGTCAAACGGGCTTTTGCGAGCAACTTTTTCGAACTTCTGCGACAACGGTTGCGCACCTGCCAGGGCCATCATCCCTGTCAAATAATACCATGCGGGACACATTCGTTTTTTCTTCGCGCGCGCACGCCGAAATCTCCAAAAACCATTGGGCTTCTTAAGAATTTTAGCACCGCGCATCATAAAATCACACGAATCGCACCGTAGGTCCTCGAAAAACACCTGCACGACTTTTCAAAATTTCACCCGCGCGCGCTGTCCGAATCCTAAAAAAACCAATGGTTTTCCAACAGTTATGCAACAGATGTTCTGTGGAAGGCTTAACACCTTCTGTGGGTTAACAAGGCTTAACAACTTCTGTGGGTGTACGAACGTAGGCTTAACAACTTCTGTGGGTGTGTACTCCACGCCAGTGTAGTAGCCACGGTCGTCCGCAGGCCACGAAGTGAAGTGTCCGAACGTCATAGGGCGGGAAGCTGGGTGTGGGTGGTGGCGAAGAGTCGTGTGGATATTTGGTAGAGCTTGCACTGCCCCCCCACAAAGTGGGGGTATTGGCTGGCGTCGCATGAAAACCCTGGCACTGGTGAGAACACTGAGCGTTCGGGTAAAGTGATTGTTGTTGTTGTTGTTGTTGTTGTTGTTGTTGTTGTTGTTGTTGTTGTTGTTGTTGAATTCTCATTTCTGAACAATAATTCTTGTTGATCCCCCCCCCCACCGGTGCATACTGATTTTTCTCAATTAAAGTGTGCCCCTCGACGCTCGCACCCTGTTTTTTGACAGGGAAAGTCTTCCTGCTCAAACTGGCCCCCCGAGCCCCCGGGTTACAACAACGGCATCCGCCTGAGACTTCCTTACAATTTAGCCAGGACCCCCGCTCCCGCCCGAGACTTCCTCGCATGTTATTCAGGAATCGCGCTCTCGCTTGGGACTTCCTTATAATTTATTAAGGGATCGCTCTCCCGGCGCTCTGGAGTCGCGCTCTCGCTGGAGACATGCTTGCAACTTACTGAAGAATGGCCTTGCGTTGGAAATTCTTGCAATTTGCCCAAGCGCCGCGCTCCCGACACCCAGGCACCCAGGAGTCGCGCCCGTTGTGGCCCCATGTGCATGCCCTTCGTGGCCCCGCTGTCGCCATTTGTGTCCCCTTCACTGTCCTATGTGTCCCAGTTGCTATCCTCAGTGGCCCCATAGTTGCTTTCTGTGGCCCCGCATTATATGCACTTCGTGGCCCCCACTCGTTCGCGCTCTTCGTGGCCCCATAAGCATTCCCTTCGTGTCCCCGCTGTCGCCCTTCGTGGCCTACTTCGTGCCCTTCGTGGCCCTGCTGTCGTTCTCTCTCGCTCTCGCTTTCGCACGTCGTCGCCGTCGTCGTTGTCGTCGACGTCGTCTTCGACGTCGTCGTCGTCGTCGTCGTGGTCGGTCCCCTGTCCGTCCCTCTTGGTGTCGGGTCGACGGTCCGCGGCCGCCCCGCCGATCAGCGCTGCCGCTGGCCAGGCCGACGGTCCGCGGCCGCCCCGCCGCTTGCCGGGGCCCGGCCTGCAGGGAAGGGCCTGCAGGGAAGAGAGGTATACCCCCGAAAGGGGGTTCAATCGAAGACGAAGAGGGCGGGTATCGAGGGTTTGGGAAATACGCGTTATTGGACACTCGAGCATGTAAGGGCGAACAGTCTTACCCTTATTGTTGTTGTTGTTGTTGTTGGTGGTGGTGGTGGTTGTCGTCGTCCCACCCGCGACCCACCCGCGACCCATCCCGCGACCCACCCCGCGACTCACCCCGCGATCCACCCAGCGACCCACCCAGCGACCCACCCGCGACCCAACCCGCGACCCACCCGCGACCCACTCCGCGACCCACCCGCGACCCACTCCGCGACCCACCCGCAACCCACCCTCGACCCACCCCGCGACCCATCCGCGACCCATCCGCGACCCACCCGCGCCCCTTCCCGCGACCCACCCCGCGACCCACCCCGCGACCCAACCCGCGACCCATCCGCGACCCACACCGCGACCCACCACCAAGGGAGGAAAAACCACCCGGACCCGACAATTGACGTTTACTAGAACGGCCCTGGGCGTTGACTAAACAGCCCTGCCCTGTTCGATTCATTCCTTGTGCGTTAACTAAACGGCTTCGCTTGAAGGGGTGATTCTTATGGGGTGGATTTTCTGCCCTTTACACCCGCGACCCAACAGCGACCCTCCCGCGATCCACCCGCGACCCATTTGCGACCCACCCGTGACCTACTCACATTGGTTTGACAAAAAAATCGGCGCCTGCGGCGGGCTCGTTGTATAATTTGTGAAACGTTGGCGTCTGCGGCGGGCTTCTCCAGAGTATCGCACATTGCCGACGTCCCACCGCCCCCTCACTCTTATCCGCATCTGCGGGGGGTGCGCGCGGATGTCTTGGATCGGCGCTGGACCCCCCTCCCTGGCGCGCGGAGCGCGCCAGGGGAAGCGCCGGAGGCGCCGCCGGGGGGGCCCCAGCTCCGATCCAAGAACCCCGCGCGGAGCTCCAACAGTGTATGTTTATCAAGTCTTTTATTTCTGGCTCAGGGGACGAGCGACCCGCGTGGTTTCATCGGAGGGAGGAGGAGCGACACCAACACCAGCAGGGGGCCCACCTCCAGCAAGGAGGCTGGTCGACGATGCCTCCCCGAGCTGGAGGCTGGGGATGTCTCGAGCGAGAGGGGAGGATCGCACCACCAGGGAGACCCCACTTGCCTTCTCGCATCTCTTATGGCTGGTGCCCCCGACCCTGCAGGAGTACGACGACGAAGACAGCGACGATGAACATATTCAAAAGGCGCATGAAAATCTTTGATTATGCCCTCTTGGGGTTTTCTTGGGAGTGTTCCTGGGACTCTCTTGGGCATCGGGGGGGGCCTCTTGGTGTTCCTTTTTTAGGGGAACGAAAAGTGACATTCCTCGGATGTCCGCGCGGATTTCGGAGGTTCGCGCGGATTTCTCGGATCCGCGCTGGGTCCCCCTTGGCGGCGCCTCCAGCGCCGCCCCTGGCGCGCTCCGCGCGCCAGGGAGGAGGGTCCAGCGACGATCCGAGAAGTCCGCTCGGATCTCTGAGTTTTTTTTATGTGTATGTATATATATATATATGTGTGTGTGTGTGTGTGTGTGTGTGTGTGTGTGTGTGTGTGTGTGTGTGTGTGTGTGTGTGTGTGTGTGTGTGTGTGTTTGTGTGCCACTTTTTCGTTCCCCTAATTTTAGGTGCCAGCGCCGAGGTCGTCACGGCACCGAGCCTGCCGCAGCTCTGGCCCTTCCCGGCTTCCGCGCGCACGCGTCGCCGCCGGGTGCCGCCCAGCGGCGTGGCCAGCGATGCCCGATGTCCGCGGCGCCGCGGGCCGCGGCGCGGGAGAGCGGAAGGCCCGCTGGGCGCCGTCCGACCTTCGCTCAAGTAGTGGCGAGGCGTCCAGGCTCCCTTATAGGCCCACCAACAACTGTTCTAGGATCTTGTTGTATGCACGAAGTTGTCTTAGAACATTTCAGACTCAGACTGTTTTTTGATACATCGGGCTCATGTTCTAAGAACATCGTTTGGGGCTCTAAGAACATTTCGCGGTATGCTTATAGGAATCATGGGGCGATCGGTCCTTGCTCAATTCGCATCGACGGCCGTAATGTCGAAGCAGAGAAAGTTGCTTCAATCAGAGGCGGCAGAGAGGGGTGTGATGATTAGGATACCATGACGTGGGCCGTGATATTTCCTCTGATTTCATGGCGCCTTCTCTTATACGTCCCTGGCCCCCCCTCGGCCGATCACATGCCGGTGGCCATAATAAGCGCCCCTCTCTTGGACGCCCCTCTCTTTACCGCCGCCGATTGGTCTGGTGTAAACTTCGTCTTGCAGCCTTAGCTTAGGTATGGTCTGGTTGGTCTGGTCTCTTTCATTGGTCTGGTCTGGTTGGTCTGGTCGGGTCTGGTTTGGTGGGTCTGGCTACTCTTGCGCAGGAGCGAACTGAAATACAGGACGGTGGACACAGCGCGCCTCGGGGTCGAACTGAAATATAGGACGGCGGAGACAGCGGGCCTCGTGGGCGAACTGACTTACAGGACGGCGGACACAGGGAGGCTCAGGGGCGCCCGGTGGGACGCCAAGCTCACAAAGAGAAATTCTGGCTCCCACAGGGAACAAAGGACAAGGAGGAAGAAAAGGGAAGGAAAAGGAGGGGGAAGAGGATGAAGATGAGGACAACGAGGAACAAGATAGGGGGCCCAATACCGCCGTCTGAGGAGGAGGGCGGCCGCGCCAGGCGTTCTACCCATGCCCCCACCACGACACAGACCAACCAGACCAGCCAGACCAACCAGACTAGCGCACGGCGGGACGCCATGCTTCAACAGAGCAAGCTTGAAGCTTGGGACTCTAGCTCCAGCTTAAGACTCAAGCTGGTCTGGTTGGTCAACCTGGCCGATCTGACTGGCTGGTCTGACAGGCCAGGTCCTGCCTGGTTCGTCCTGTCAGGTTGGTTTGCTTGGTCCAGCCAGGTTGGTCTGCTTAGTTTGGTCTGGGTTTCGCTGGTCTGAGCGGCTAGCTGGTCTGCCTGGTCTGGTTGGTTTACCTGACTAGTTGGGCAGGCTGGTCTGACTAGTCTGCTTGGTCTGGACAGGTTGGTCTGCTTAGTCTGGTCTGTGGTTCGCTGGCGCGAACGGCTGGCTGGTCTGGTTGGTCTGATTACTCCACCTGGCTGGTGTGGTTGGTCTACCTGACCGGTATGACTGTGCCGTCTCGCTAGTCTGCTTGGTCGTGGCCGTCGTCCTCGCCCTCGCCCTCGACTTCGTCGTCGTCGTCGTCGTCGTTGTCGGTGTCGTCATCGTCCTGTCCCTTGCGTCGCCGCAGCCGGGGCTGGGACCGAAAGCGCTGCTGCGGCTGCGTCGGAAAGGGAGGTGTTGAACGAAGGAGTATCAGCAGCCATATCAGTTCTTATGCCCCCGAACAAAAGTACACCGCCGGGCCATCTGAACTTTTCGCTTCGAGCGTCTTAGAGGAGTGGTTGTGGGTCGAAGTCCTCATGGATGCTTATTTTGATCTTTTCGGAAGAAGCCTTTGGAGCGCAGTTTTGAGGCCTCTGGGGGGCCTCTTTCTCTTGGGGCTTCCTGGGGGCCTGTTCGGAGTCTTGGGGGCCTCGTTGGTGTTTTTTTTTGGGTGTCTCTTGTGACCTCTTGGGGTGCTCTTCGGAGCCTCTGGGGGGTTCCTGGGCGCCTCTTGGAGCCAGGAGCTCGAAATCTCCGTTCGGGTCCCCCGTCTGGGCCCGCTTTTGGAACTGTCTTGGGAGCCTCTCCGGCCATCTCGAAAGCCTCTGGGGCTGTCTTGGGGCCCTATGGGGCCGTTTTGGGCGATCCTGGAGGCCTCTTGGGCCGAGTTGGGACGATCCTGGAAGCCTCTTGGGCCGTCTTGGATCGCCAGTGAGCCGAAAAGGCGAAAACGGCCAAAAACCTTCAACAGCCAACGGAAAATCTCATATGTCTCCCTCTGTGGGCGCTTTTTGGAGGTGTATTGGAGGCGTTTTTGCGACGTCTTGGAGGCGTTTTGGGCTGTCTGGAGGCCATCTTTGACGTCTTGGGTCGGTCTTGGACCGTTTCGGACCATGTTGAGCTCTCTTGGAGGCCACTTGGAATCCTTGAACGCTCTTGGGAGATTGCTGGGACTTGGCCCGGACCTCGCCAGGTCAAGCCTGGGACTTTTTCGGGATTTGCCCAGGACCTGCCCTGGACCTTGCCAGGGTGCTCTTCGTTCGGGGACCCCCAGGGGCGGCCCTTCGCGCGCGAAGTAGAAATATTGCGAAGTGGAAATCTTAGGACGGCCCGTTGGGCCGGCGAATTTGAAGCATTTGTGGATATGGGTAGCGCGAACCTGGTGTACTTCAACAGAGATTGTAGCTTTGGTAGCGCGAGTTTGGTATACTGTATTGGGGGTTGGGGCTTGGGAAGCGCGGGTCCGGCGTAATTTGCGATCGGGTGTGGCCTCGGGAGTGCGATTCTGTCGTAGATTGCTTGGCGTTGTGGCGTCGAGAGTGCGAACCTGCAGTGCAGTCAACCCGCATGGTACGGATGGCCAACCTTCCCCAGGGTACCTTTGCATCCTTGCCTTCTCGGCCCATCCTTGGCCAGTTTCTTGGCCAGCTTCGGTCGAGAAGCTCTATCATGTCCTTTCAAGGCCATTGCAGTCTTGGCGCGCATCCTTATGATACGAGTTGACTGTAATTCGTTTTGCGCGTCTTGGGGGACCCAGGAATTAAAATTACACGATTTGGGTCGGCGCGCCCGGTGGTTTTCGGGCTTCCCTCCTCGCGCGCGGCAGCAATTGTTGTTGATCGTGTGTTGCCTTATTCGCCACCCTACAGTATCTTCGGGCTTCGGTCACCCATCTCTTGGACGACGCCCCAAAACAAATGTGGAATTACGTGCGCGACAGGGTGGCACGTCGGAGTTGACGAGGTGGCACGACGGGGTAGAGCTCGCACGCTTACCGATTTTGCCGCCCATGTGTCCGCTTCGAAGCGATGGGTGTCAGTGAGTCGTGTCATTCTTTGTGTGCGAGTCATTTGTATGCCATCAGCGCAGTGCGTAGCATTTCAGTACTCGGGCAGCTTTCCGCCCCAGGTTAGTCTCAACAAGCGGAGTGCACCCCCCCTGAGCTAGTTGCCCTTGCCGGCGAAATCGCTGAAGAGGAGGAGGAGGAGGAGGAGGAGGAGGAGGAGGAGGAGGAGGAGGAGGAGAGGGCGTGTCATGGAAGGGCAGGATGGTTCTCAGAAGACGGGAGGGTTTCTAAGAAGCCGCCTGTCGTCCTAGAAGGTTGTCCCCCTCGTTGTACTCCTTTCTGCGCACCCCACCCAAAATCACCACGGCATCTTGGCTCCCGTTTTCCAGGGGCCCTGGAGCAATGACTGGCGGTGACGGTGGACAGCGACTCGCCATGGAGGAAAGGGCCCCAGAGGGAATCGCGTACCAGACCCTGGGGCCCTCCCCAGGAGCGGCTTTTCCCCCCGAGCCGGGCTCGTCTTACGGCCCCAGGGCTTGCGGAGGTCTTCGGGGGCTTCTCGATGGCGGAAGAAACATGCACAGACCTTGGGGCTCGGATGCAACTGGGAGGTCAAATTCTGATTTAACCGTGGTCTCAAATCCCGTTTAATCCGGCTTACTCCCGCTGAATCCCGCTTGATCCGGTTCATCCGAGGCCCACTCCGGCGTGATAGCTGCCAACTGGAGCTTAATCCTCCCTGTAATCCTTCCGACGAGAACCTCCCAGCAGTTGCCTCCGAAGGGCCCTCCCCAGGCAGAACCCGGGGGCCCTCTCGGGAGCGGCTCTGCCCCTCGAGCCGGGATCTCGCGGCCCCACCCCCTGGGCCTGTGGAGGCCCCCAGGGGGCCACCAGGGCGGCGGCAGAGACCCGCCCAGGCCCCCTTCTGGTCCTCGGGGCCCGCTTCTGATGGGCCTGACCACCACCACAAGTTCGAGGGGGGAGGGTCCTCCTCCTCCTCCTCCTCCTGCTCCTCCTCCTCCTCCTCCACCCCCTTCCCCCCTCCAACTGATGGTGGTGGTGGAGGAGAACAGGCCCATCAGCTTCCTGCATGCCGAGGCAGCGACGGCGGCGGCGACGGCGATCCTCCGGCCGAGGGGCGCGGCGGGCGCGGCGGCGGTCCCCCGCGAGACGCCGCGGACGAGGAGTCTCCTCGCGGTCCATCGGGGCCCCCCTCCTCCTCCTAGGAGGGGCGCCGGGGCTGGGACCTGGCGACGGGACTCGTGCGCATGCGCCGCACCTGGCCAGGCCCCATGCTGGGCCCAGCATCGGTGCACGTGCCGCCCTGGCCAAGCCAGCAAGCCAGGGGCCAGGGGGCGGTGGAGGTGTGAGTCCCGCCGGGGGGGGGGGGGAGCTGCGCCAGTCGGCAGCGCGCGCGAGGGCGCCACCCCCCTGTGCTCGCCGCCAACCGGCAGGGTGGGGAGGAGACCAGGGAGGCGTGCGAGGCGGGCTTGGGCCACGAACGCCACAGCGGCCACCTCTCAAGAAGGTTGATCACACGCTCTGTCCCAGCCCCGCCGTTTCCAGCATGCGTGCTTCTCCCCACACGCGAACGTTCCCAGCTGATCGGGAACGAATTGAGGGAGGATGAGATGGAGGATTCAGTTTATATCCACACTGCGCGTTTGTCCTATCTCCTTTCGCCTCCTCCTCCTCCTCCTCCACCTCCTCTCCCTGACTCCATTGGTGTACCAGCCTATCCTGCCGCGAACCGGGCTGCTCATCGATTCCGTGACGGCTTAGTTCAGGACATTGTCGAGGAGTGTGACCGTTTTTCGCGGTTGTTCTTGGCATTAGCGGGTGCCCTTCTTGTGACCGCTCTTGGCCCTTGGCGGGTGACCGTTCTTTGCGGAGCGAGCGAGTTTAGACATATTTTGCGGGCTTCTAGTTCTCTCACCTGGTCCCTCTCTCGGGAGAGGCCAGGAGGGGGGTGATGACTAGTCCAGTCCAGTCCAGCAGCCTTGCGCCAGCCACAGCACGTGAGCAATGAGTGAAAGGTGTGCACGGAAGCGGATGCCTTCAGCACGCCTCCCATGCCCTGACCGCCTGTTCCCACCTGCGAGCTGCACCGCCCTCTCGGCTGAAGTAGTCAGCAAGTCGCTCATGGGAGCCGGCGACATTCAAACAAGTCTTTAGCACCATGGGCCCCCAAGACTGTCTCGGGCGGCCTCTTCTCCTTTTTCCAAGGAGGCTCTTGGGAACCAAACCGCCCGGCTCACACATCGAGCTTCTGACTGGATCCTCGTCTTGCCTTCTAGCTACATGGCCCATGTGCAACATCTGTTCTCGCGCGAGACTATCGCTCAGAGGCATCTGTTGGCAAACGAGACTATCGCTCAGAGGCATTTGTTGGCAAATCTTCAATGCTGTATGATTCGACTCACGACTGATGTATGACGGGGAGATTATGTAAATTCGTCTGAGACAATAATTCTGGAACCCGTCGAGCCGTCTTCGCTCGGCCTGGTTAAGACACGCAGTGAATAATACAAACGTGAGTTTGGAAACAACACAAGCGTTAGGTTTACGCAGCTTCTGTCTCCTATTCAAAGTCGAATGCGACCAGATCCTTGCAAGCACCTTGACATAACTTCTGGCCACCCCAATTCTTCGACTCTGTGCCGATGCGCCCGTCCGCAGCAAGAGACGTCCCGAGATAAATTTGCGAGACTGCTTCGCTGGGATGGGGACCTCGTGGCGTCGCTAAATATTTGCTTCAGTCCTCACTTTCATCAGTTGCAATTTGCCCCACTTGAACTGCAACCCGTAATGGCCCCCGCACTCAATGCAGCGCATCAGCTCTTGAACGAGGTCCGGGTCAGAGTCTATGAGTAATGTGTCGTCCGCGTACAGTTCCCTCACAAACCGACTTTCAGGTATCGGTCCGGCACGACTCTGAAGCAGCGCGTGCGCGTCCGTGAGAAGCGTCGTCATCACAATGGTGAACAAGAGACTGGAAAATGGACAGCCCTGGTGTATGCCGTACCTCTGCTGATGCACACTGGACGTAGCCCCGAAATCCCTCACGACGAACTTGGGCTCGCTGCAAATCGACATGGCGACGTCCACGAAACCTTCTGGGCAGCCGAATCTCCGCAACGATCTGGCGAGCGCGTCTGGCGAGACCGAATCGAACGCCGTGGCCCTGTCAAGAGCCAGGAACAAGCGATGTGCATCTCGCGTTGACCATGTGTCGTCCAACATCCGGCGGGCGAGGAACAGTGCGTCTGCCGCGCCCCCCCCCGAGCGCAACCCGAATTGGGCTCGCCAGATGCAGTCGTCGGCCCCCGCCTGCTTCAGCCTCTAGAGCAGGATGGCCGCGAACAATTTGTCGCCGATGGGAAAGATGCTGATGGGGCGGTAGTTCTCGCATTCAGCAGGGTCGCCTTTCGTGAACAACATCGACACCCTCGCATGCCTCCAAGCTTCTGGGGTGATGACTAGGGGAGGGGATATCATTGCACGCCATCCAGGGACATGCCCAAACAACAACCACGAAACCAGCAGCAATGCCCCAAACGATTCCAGCGAGTCCGACGTTTGCCGCAACCCACCCGACGACCAACCCAACACGCAGGACGATATCTTCGACGACGACGGCATGCAACTGGACACTATGCAGGACGGGGACGTCGATCCGATTTCATGCGCAGAAGCACACGGACAGCAGAGACATTGATGCTTCAGCATGGCATACCTGATGTATTCCACATGCACCGAAGAATGGATTGGCGCTGGGCGAGCACTGTGGCTCACCACCCTTCGACACGCTGGACGCATCGAGCGCTTAATTGGAACCCAAATCTCAACACTCGGCAACAAGGGAGGCGACAACGCGGAGGTCAACAAAAACGATTGGAAGACGACATCCGGAAGTTACTCCACAGGTTGGCTTGGACGGGCACCGGGTCGACGACGACGCCGGGCAGGCGCAGATGCTAGCAGCGACCCAGCCACGACGACATCAACCCAACAATACAAATGGCTTGCGGTGGCTGTCGGCGGCCCTGCACACGGAGTGGTGGTTATCACGTGAGCCCGCCTACGCATCACATGTTCGACGCCATGGCCTCCACGCCATGCCCTAATGGGCACGGGCGGGCTCCCCAGTGGAGCGCGCACGACTCTGGCCTTCGCTTCGCTTCGCTTCCGCCACCTACTCCTCCTTTTTCATCCTCCTCCTCACCGGGGCTGAGCCTTCATCCCGAGTGACTTTTGACGGCATCGTTGCCAGGAAACGGCCCCGAAATGTTCAGAACAGCGCTTGGCGTGTTATGTTTTCCCTCCTGCTGCTCTCGTTCCTTCTCCTTCTCCTTCTCCTTCTCTTCGCACCTCCTTCCCATCCTCCCATCCCTGCCTTTGTCCTCCGCACCCAGTGCAGCGCTCGGGCGCTCCGTGGCACAATAGGGAGCTCCACCAACAGCCGGGCCCGAGATATAACAGCGTGCCGCGGCCCCGGGGGGGAAACACAAATCACCGAAGATTTCATTGACTGTAATCACATGCGTCCACGCGTGGCCCCAGAAGGAGTTCCACCGAAGGCCCAGGTGGCTGTGGTCACATGCGCCCGCGCCAGCCAACGCAGCGCTTCATGGCCTCATAGGGAGCTCCACCAGAGGCCCCCGTGGCTGTGATCACACGCGTCCTCGCCAGCCAGTGCAACGTTTCGTGGCGTCATAGGGATTCCCAAGCGTTCTCAAGCGCTCCCATGCTCCAGCGCTCCCAGACGCTCCCAGGCGCCCTCAGGCGCTCCCAAACCCTTCCCAAGCGCTCCGAGGCGTTCCTGGCGCTCCCAGGCGCTACCAAGCCAACCGTTCCCAGGCGCTCCCTGGCGCTCCCACGCCAGGCGCTCCCACGCCAGGCGCTCCCAAGCGTTCCCAGGCGCTCTCCAGGCGCTCCCACGAGCGCTCCCGCAAGCGCTTCCAGTGGCTGTGATCATATGCGTCTCCCCCGACCCACTTCGGCACGCCCCTCGCGCGGTTCGTGGCCTGGCCCTGGGGAACTACACCGACTGCCTTGGCGGCGGTGTCCACGTGCGTCCCCCAGCCCATGCCGGCATTCCCTCACACGTCTCGTGGCCTCATAAGGAGCTTCCCCTCCTGCGTCCCAACTGCCTTGCGGTTTTCACAATTGCATACGGTTGGGTCTTTCGCCAGAAATTGTTTTTCTGTTGCCAGGCGTCGTAGTCCAGCCATCAATGGGGCCCACCTGTGGTATGCCCCCAAGCCGGCACGGCAGGTGCTGTTTTTGTCTGCGAAGTCCTGCCGGACGATGACGCCAATCTCCTGACTCCCTTCTCCCCCTGGGTCGTCAGAAGGCACAACGCAATGATGTGGAAGAAGGAGCAAAGGGTGATGCCCTCCCCGCTCTGGAGGATGGCCGATGTCTCAACGGGCCCCCTGATGCTGCCTAGGCATCCGGCGTCGTGTCTTCTCACGGCGTGGGCACCCCTTTCTTGGGACCGTTGTCCATCCAGAGCCATTTCATAGTCGCGGCCGACTCGCTGTGATGACCCCCAGAGCCAGCAGGATTGCAAAGCTCGTCGTCACTTTTGCTTACTGGTGCGAGGTGGTAAGGGATCAGCGATAAGCCAGGCCCTCCATCGCCGATGCCGTCCCTCAGGACGGGCGCGGCCAGCAGGGCGAGGTCGAGCACCTGGAGGCGCAGCAGGGCGGAAGGCGCGGCGGCGGCGGTGGCGCCGCCGCCAATGTCGTGGTCGTTGTCGTGGCTGCCGTCATTGTCGCGGGCGTCGCAGTGGCCGTTTTCGTCGTTGCCGCCATCAGCTATCATCGCCGTGGCAGGAGCAGGAGGGAAGGGGAGGGAGGGCGGGTGGGCCGCACGACAGGGAGGGAGGGAGGGTGAGGGGGGGACGAGGGAGGTCTGGTTCTACCGCCCCACGCATCTTGATTCCAACGCTCACCGTCATCACCCATAGCCCATTGCAGTTCGAACAGACGAGGGTGACACCAGTTCACCCTGTTGCCCTTTGTTTTTTTGTGAGTGCGCGCGTACAAGCATACAAACACTATTGCCGCAGTATTGTCCGAGGCGATGTGACAATTTCCCACTCGAGAGCATACCACTGAGACATCCAGAAATGACGACCTGACCCTTTTAGGAGAAGAGGGACTGATGATGCTCACCCCGAAGATCGTCGGGGCTAGCATGCAACTTTACGACGGAGGCACTGGCGTCAAGGGCCGCATCATCATTGGGATTGTTTACGCATGCGAATGGTCATGGTGCTCGCTAATGTTTATTCAGCCGGTGGAACTCGTCGGGATCGTTTTATCTGGCGAGCATTATCTATCCACTGCCACGCGTCTTTGTTCGTATGGAAACGAGGCCCGACTGTGTCTCGATCCGCAGATGAACGCATACCCCTGGTTCGGTAACGCCTGCCCCTTCCTACATTGTGGCATCCTGGAGCCGAGATGCCGATGACACACCCAATAATGGTCCTGGAGCACCAAGTATCGCCGACCGTCCTACCAGGAAACCGTTCCTCACAGTTCGTTCGAGTTCTCGCACAAGTAGCATGGGTGATACGTTGGCCAAGTTGCAGAAACATTGAGGACTACGACCAAGGATGACACCAACAACATCATCGCATCATTGCCGTCTGGAGTGCCCACATCTTAATGTGATCTTTGGCAAAACGAGTGCTAAGGAATTGTACGATGAAGCGCCTCATGAATGGCACGCATGACATCGCATTGTTGGCAGTGTGTCCAAACGGATGCAATGCAGGAACATTCGGTTCCCTAAGTCGCCATGTCGCTACGTTGTGCTGCTGGTGTCGCCTACCTGGCAAGCACGGCCATGAACACAATTTGCCACGCGGACCTGATAATGGTAGGTGACGATCGGGTGGTAAAGGAAAACAGGACCGCCTATCTATGAGGAACATGATATACCCTCATACTGCGTTGTGGCGACGCGCAACACGTTTGATGATATTGCTCGGCGACAACATGAGAAGTGTGTGTGTGGTGGCTGTGGTGGTTGTGGTTGTGGTGGTGGTGGTTGTCATGGTGTTGGTGGTGGCTGTGTGTGTATGTGTGGTGGTGGTGATGGTGGTGGCGGCGGCGGGGTGGGGTCGGGCGGGGCGCGTGCGTGGAGTCAATGTTCGCCGTCCGCGCCTGAGACCTTCCATGCTCGACATCCTGCGCTCAGCCTTTGCCGTCTTGTTTACCCCAACCTCCGCGTTGGCTTCGCCTCCGCGCGAAGGTGTTTTGTGGGACATCATTGTTTGCGGCCGTTGCCTTTCTGAATCTCGCCGATGTGTGCTTGCCATCTGTTTTAGTCGCATACGCATATACATGTCCGTGGCCCACCTTGGTAACAGTTGTGCGTTTGTGTGTGTGTGTGCGTGTGTGTGTGTGTGTGCGCATGGGATTCGGCGGTTTCGGCTTGTGCGCAGCCAACAAGCGTGCGATTGCATTTGATGGTGGCATGCTCCGCTAGTCCACGCGATCGCTGCGCACTTCTCTAAAGATACGTGTGTGTATGAGTATGTGTGTGTGCGTGCGTGCGTGCGTGCGTGCGTGTGCTGACGGGCTCCGCTGCGTCGCTGCGTGTGCGGCTGCGGCGCCAGAAAGTGTGCGAACGTGTGTCGTCGCGTTCGTGTGCGCGCGCGTGTGTATGTGTACGTGTGTGCGTGTGTTTTGTGTGTGTGTGTTTTGTGTGTGTGTGCGTGTGTGTGTATGTGTGTGTGTGTCGCTCGTCGGAGGAGAGTCTTCCGATACCACAAGTGAAACGAACAAAACCCTGAACAACAGAAGCCACTGAGGCCGAGAGCCACTGAGGCCCAGCACACTCTTATCAAGCCGCGGAGCGAAAATATACGCACAAGTGTGTCATAAAAGGGCCGGGATGCTCTCGCCACGAGAACGCATCGGGCCCAGCCCTGGGACTGGGATGTACCAAAAAGGTCCGCATGAGGCCCAGCCCCCTTCCGCCCAGCATCGCACGGATAACTGGCGGGACGACAAAACGTGGCGACGAGGAGCGCCCAGCCCCGCCGCCGCCGCCTGCGGGAGCCGCGCCGCCCGCTCCCGCAGGCCTTCGCCTCACGCCGAGTCGGCTCGAGTGCCTCACCCCGACTTGGCGGGCCGCTGCGCCAGCAGCTCCAGCGCGCCACGCGGGATCCTGAAAGACACCTCCATGTTGTCCTCCAAGGTGATCGCGACGAGGCCATCCTCCATGTCGAGGCGGACCACCGCTGTCGCACGCGCGCAGGCGCCCTCGGTGACCCGCACCCGCGCGCCGACGGGCAGGGCGGGGAGGGCGGCTGGCACCAGCAGCTGTGGAGGAGGCCTGGCACGCCGCTGAACCGAGTCGGCCCACTCGTCCTCAGGGATGCTCATCCTGTCGTCGCCGTCGCCGTCGGCCGCCGCCGCAGGCGCGTTCACGAGCTCCCGGCCCGCTCGCGCAGCTCCAGCGTCGGCGCCTCCGCCGTCCGCGGTCGCCTCCACCCCGACGGCAGGGGCGAGCGTCGCCGCAGCCGAGGGCGCGGTGCCCTCGAGGCCGCACTGCTCCGCCGCCGCCATGCCGTCGCTGAGCTTCATCTTGTCGGCCAGGGGTTGGCCCGCTTCCCGCTTGCCGCCGCGCCCACGCGGGTGCCTGCGCCTCCGAGGGCCCATCGGTGCCTGGGCCTGCGCTGGCGGCGGCACCAGGGCAGCGAGGAGCGCCACGGCCGACCTGATGATGCCATCGGCAGCGCGCAGGAGCCTCGCCGCTGCAAGCTCTCCAGCGCCTCCCGTCAGCCCCGCAGCCGCGTGGACGGCCAGGGCCGAGCCCCGAGCAGAATCCAGCGCGATGGCGCGGGCGTACCGCTTCGTCGCAGGCATCGGACCGAGGCGGACGACCGACGGAGGGAAGCCCAGCGGCAGCAGTCTTGAGCCGAAGCAACTGTGTGTGTGTGTGTTTGTGTGTGCGTGTTTGTGCGCGTGGGGGGGGGGAGGGGAGCGGGCGGTTCCCCCGACGACGACGAACCAGCCTGGCAGTCGCAGCGCCCTCGCGGGGACGGGCAGGCCCCTCGCGCGGGCACAGCCGGCTCGAGCAGTGGCCGTGGGCGCCGCTCGCGATGCAGCGGGCGGCGCCCGAGGGCGCGGCCGCGCGTTGGGGGTGGCCGCTGCTCGGGCCAGGCGCTGAGTCGGGCCTGTCCTTCAAAAACAGTCAAAAAATAGCTTGGGGACGATGTTTTTTAGTATTTTGTGACCATTTTGGAATATGCTTTGAGTATTGTTTATTTTTCGTCGAAAATCCCCCTGTAGGGGGGCACGCTCGACTTTTAAGCCAAGCGTCGCGGTGCCGAGCGTCTGAGGACGCAGAGCGGTCCCCGGGAGGTCGCGTGGAGCGCCTGGGGGCCGCTGGAGAGCGCGCCTCCCGGGAGAGGTCGGCTCGCCTGTCGCGAGACGGATGCGGCGAGGCCGAACAGTACGGTACCGAAGGAGCAGGCGCGCGGGTTGGAGGCGAGCCGCTCCTACAGCAACGATTGGAGGACAGCCCGTCGCTGGAGTGACCCGCCCGGCTCTGGCCACGAGAGTCCAGGCGAAGCTGAACCAGTGGCGACGGACGCATAGGTAAAGTCGTGGTGATCGAAGATCTAGCTGGGTAAACCAGAAGGTACCCGTACTATTATTCTCCAGACTTCTCCTGGCGTGTGTTCTGACCAGAATCTCGAGGCGAATCCAGCTGTGGCCACGAGGGCCTCCCAGGATATTCTAAAACAGAAAACGAGGCAAGGGTAGCTGTAGCGGCACCTTTCCATAATCCTCAATGACACACCCACCCCCAGTCACAACGGGGATGAGGCAGTCTCGCCGATTGGGTGCCGCGAGCGAGAGTGGGATTTGGGGTAACGGCCCTCGCTGCAGCGCCTGCCTCGACGGCCGGGGAAATCTCACCCCAACCCCAGGTTCCGGCACCCCGCCTGCCAGGAATGCCCGCGGGTGCCGTCGTCGGGGGTGGGGGTGACATTTGAGGAAGACGCAGGGCGCAGCAGAAGACGAGCAAATGTCAGACAGGACCCCGCTAGCTCACATGGATCCGCCAGCCCCCAAGTGATGAGGCGCGTCGGAGGTGGCGCGAACCCTTTGGATGGCACCGACCTCGCAGATCACCTCCCACTCCGCCAGGAAGAGCTCGGCCCCGCGGCGCGCGAGCTCGTCCGCCGCCGCGAAGATGGCGGCCGGGCTGCTGTCGAGGGCGACGCCAAGCCTGCGGGCCACTGCTGCCACCCGAGCCGGCGCCACCGGAGCCGCTGACCGCGCAGGGCCGCCCCCCCGCCAGTCGCCGCAGCCGCCGCCATCGCCGAAGACCGCGCGTGGAGCGTGTCGGCCCAGAAGTCGTCCTCCAGGGCCGAAGGGGCCGCGACGCCCTCGCCCTGCGAGCCCCCAGTCGCGACCGCCGCCGCCGCCCCATCCGCCGCCGCCTTCAGCACCACGACGCAGCCGTGGGCTCGACCAGCATGCCAGCCGCACGGCGCTTCCTGGCGCGACGCCGCTTCCGCCGTGGCCGAAGGCCATCGGGCCGCGCAGCAGCCGCGGGAGCGCTAGGCAACCCTGCGCCTTCACCGTCACCATCAGCACGAAAGGCGTCCACACGCGGGCGTTGAGACTGGGCAACCTGCAGTTCCGCCACGGCCGCGCGGCAGATGCCCTCCGCCGAGCGAAGCAAGCGGCAGGATGCCACTGAGCTGCGCGAAAGGCGAGGAGGAGGAGGAGGAGCCATGAGCCATCCGGGACTGGATGGCGGGGGGCCGAGCAAGCAGTGTGGAGCGACGCGGAAACCAAGACCGACCTAAAGCCCGCACGGGCAGGGGGTGACAGGCCTACAGTGAGCAGGTGCCAGGGCAAACAGGAGTCGGCAGACGGGCATCATGGGAGGAGCTAGGAGGCCGGGGGCCTGGCAGGGCGCCAAGGGAGGAGGAGGAGCAGGAGGAGGAGGAGGAGAAGGAGGTGGAGGAGGATCGTCATTCTCTCCTCCGTCGAATTGCTCGTCGGGGATGCGTCAGCCCGTTCCGCGAGCTGCTGGCCGTGATCATCAGGCAGCTGGTGCGCGCCTCTACCGCCGCCGTTGCAGATTCTGGGGGTGGGCCCCACGCGGAGCGGCAGTGATGACGAGCTGTTCGCATGTGGCGGCGAGACTGGCCAGTGGCGACGTGGCTCAGAGGAGGCCGGGGTCCCCTTCTGTCGTTGAGAGCACGTGTTGCTGGATTCCCAGATCCCAGTCTACTTTAGACGCCCTCCTACTTCAAGAGTCGAATGGTTTTCCCTGTTCCCTCCTCTTCAGGAGGGCGGGCGGAAAACCTATATACTTCCAACTTCTTCCTACTTCATGGTTCGACCTACTTCTTCCGACCGACGGATGCCCATACCTTTTCTTTTCCCTCGTTTTCCCGCTCTTGGGCCTTCTCGGAGGCACTCGCGACCACCGCTGGGTTCGCCTCGCAATCTTAGTCAGATCGCACCCCGGGAGTGGTTTGGGGAGTAGCAGTAGTACCTCGTGGTTCCCCCACAACGGCGACGTGGCGGCGTTCCCCCGAGTGATTCTGGGTCGGAGACAACATGCGGCATCTCGAGGGCGGCAGAATCGAGTGCCCAGCACAGAGACACCGTCGTCGATCCCCTGCCTCTCCCTCCTTGCGCACATGCCATCGCGCGCAGCGCGCGCGTCCATGCGGAGCCGAATCGGCCACGAGCCAAGCAAGCGGCCCGCGGGGTATCCCCTGACGCGTCCACTGGCGCGTCCACCTGGCACGCCGCGCGGCGCGTCCCCTGGCGCGCCCCGTGGCGCGCCCCCTGGCTCAGCGCGCCTCCTCGCGCGTCGCCTGGCGCCCCCCCCCGCGCGCGCCCCGTGATGCCCCCCTGGCGCCCTCGAGGCCCGCTCCACGGCGCGTCTTTTCCCGCGGTGCGTCCATTCGCGAGCCTCTTGGCGGCGCGTTGCCCCGCGCTTCCTCTGGCGAGTCCTTTGGCGGCCATCCAGCGTCCCTTTGGCGCGTCTGCGGGCTCGCCCTATGGCGTGCCCCCTGACGCGCTGCGTCGTCCTACTGGGCGGCCCGTGACGCGCCAACTCGCGCGTCGCCTGCCCCCCGCCCCCTCCCCCCCCCCTGGGCGCGCCCCGCGACGTGCCCCCACTGCGCGCCCCTCGGGGCGCCCCCCTGCGCGCCGCGCGGCCGCGTCCCCTGGCCCGTCCCTCGGGGTGTCCCTCGGGGTGTCCCCGGGCTTGTCCCGCGGCGCGTCCCCCGTACCACGGCGCGTCCCACGGCGTGCCCCGTGGCGCGCCTCGTGGCCGCCTGCGTCGTGCCCCCTGAGTTGTCCTCCCATGTTCGGGGCTGTGACGCGCGTTCTCTCCGCGTCCGAGATGCAGAGACTGCCGGAAAGGGGGGGAGGAGGAGGAGGAGGATGAGGAGGAGGAGGAGGAGGAGGAGGAGGAGGAGGAGGAGGAGCACGAGGAGGAGGATGAAAAGGAGGATGATGAGGAGGTGGAGGGCGGTGACGCCGACGACGACCAGAATGCAGCTCGCAGGCTCGGCATGTTAGCATCCTTTCCCAGATCCACGGGTCGTTCATATTTTGGTTGTGCTTCACGGCCACGGCCACGATGATTGAGCATTGACGACCATGAGCATGGACGACGACGAAGCATCTTGTATCGTCGACGTGTTTCGGCGCCGCCGACGGGCCTTGATCATCGAGCACGCCGGCGATCCAGTGGCGCCGACCACGACGATGGCGACGACGACGAACGCCGACGGCGACGAGCATCGACGAAGACGACGGCGCCGTCAGCGTCGTCGGCACTGCCGCCCTCGCGATCAACCCGGGAGGCCCGCCGGCGAGCCCGAGGGGAGGGCCACCAG